ACAGATTTAACAGAGGTCATCTCCTTCACTTATCCAGCCAGCCAACCAGCTAGCCAGCCAGGAAGCGTCGTTTCAACCATAGACAGTCGGAACAGATGGAGATGTCAAAGCTAGCCGGAATCGGTAAGGCAAGATACGCCTTCATCAACCTGAAACCGATTCGGAAATCTTCTGCTTCATTGAGCCTGCATGAGGAACAAGATTCAGATTCTCAACACCAATATCAAGTCGGTCAGTTCTTCTATACGGATCAGAGACTTGCACTGCGTGTCAGTGACGAAAAGGATTTCCAAGAGGCTGCAAACTTTCACCAGGAGCTGCCTCCTTCACTGGCTGGCTGGCTCCATACTGAAGATGAAATGGCCCGCCAGCCAGCCATTCAGTCAGTCAGAAAGAATTAGTAAAAAGAAACTCTGGGAACAAACCAACCAAGAACCGATCGTCCACCAAATATATGGGAGAAAATGGGGATGGATGGATCCGTCACACATTGAGGAGACTGTCGAATGACATCGTTCGCCAGGCCATTGCTCGAGTGGAATCCAAATGGAGAGAAAGGAGTGGGTTGTCCGAGGATGATATGGAGGAGATTGTGTGAAGATGTGATGAGAGATTATGGGCGATTGTAGACCCAGTTAAAGAAGATGTCAGGAAGTGGAGGTGTGTTGTTGAAGCCGCATGTTCCACTTGGAACTCAACAGAACAATAACAATAATATTTCGAACACATACTCCAAATTCATTTTATTGATCACCTCAATTACATCACGCTGATGGAGGTTTGTCCTTCGTCAAGCAGTGGTGTTAATTACATAGGGATAAGAGTATTTTTCTGTAACTTCAACAAGAACAGCAACAACAAAGAAGAATATGCACTTGCGACGGACCCTGATTGGATGCGCTCGGAAGTGTAGTTCTTGTCATTAGGGTGGTGTCACAGACCTTCCATTTTTAAACAATTTTGTCTTACTGGTCAAACTAGTCAATGGGTAGATCTTTAAGAAAATTGAAATCGTCTCTATGTCACAGTACACGATGCAGAATAAAGTCGGACTTTTGAGGCGCTAGGCCTAGAGAAGGCGGTGATTGTCTAAACCTGTTCACTTCCCGTGTGCCTCAAAACAACAACAACAACAACAACTGAAGCTATTAAGCCACTCAAACCTCTGAATGCTATCTAGTGAATATCAGAAAAGTTAAAGTAATTAGTTTACTGAAAATAAAAAATTTACTCAGAAATACGCATTTGGAACTGCTGACAGATTTTAGTAAATTTGTGCATTTAGCATTTCTGGAGTGAACAAGTTTAATATCCAGTATCCCTGTATTTTCAAGCGATTAACTACAATGTGAACTAGATGGTTCATTTCATCAGCATTTTTTTCCTTATCAGCATATAGATCCTGGAGCTTACTGTGATATGGATTGATGTAAACTGGAGTCATGACCATTTTCGTTTCAAATCACCAATACATGTGTTTAGGAGAGAAATATTTAAATCACTTTCCCGTCTGTGGACACCAATTATCTAACGAAGGCAAGAGTCTTCAATACACTCGAGCTAGTAAAGTTCGCGAAGGCACCAGGACGGGACAGAATACCCTCTAAAGTATGGAAGACAGAAGGGAGATCACAGCGGATGTGCTTACAACACTATTGCAAACGTTTTGGATAGAAGAAAAGGTACCTACGAATTGGAAGAAAAACTACCTTGTGGCACTTGCAAAGAAAGAAAACTTATACCTCACATAAGACTGCCCCTTAATCATGCTGTTGTCCAAGTCAAGTGAAATACTAAGTCTTATCACCATCCTCGAGAGAATAAAGTATACACTGGATACAGAACCCCTCCCTGAAACACAGTGGTTCCAGGAAACGCAATTCGTCTGCAGATCGAAGCGCATCCCACCTCAACATCATGGAACATACCACAGAATGGCAATCAAATCTCCATCTCTACTTCGATAGTGTTGTCCGTGAACAAAGTTGGAAACTACTTCAAAACTACAGGGCGAATTTTCTCGAATCTTCATCAACCTAATTCAGCAAGTATATGAGTATTCCACATGTCAAGTGATCCACAATGGAAAACTCAGAGAAGCCTTCGGAATAAAAACAGGAATATAACAAGGCAAGACAATCTCGTGGAATCCGAACGGGAAACGACCAGTCGTTTGTCCGAGGATGGAGTGATGAAAGATGACGAATAATCGTTGGCCCAGCTAAAGAGATCAGCAGGTAATAGGACAAAGTGTAGATGTGTTGTTGAAGCCCTATGCTACATTCGGAACCCAAAAGCCAATAACAATAGTATACACATTGTGTTATGTTTGAATAATTGAGTAGTGAGCAGACACATTCATTGCAATGGAGATTCTGTGAATTCAAGCTATTTCAGGCTTTCACTTTATTCTTATCACAATCATTTCCAGTGTTTATGTTCTTTGCATGACATGTGAATATGCCTTGAGTTATCAGTTTTCGGTTTTTCCTTTAGTGCATTCTTTCATTTCTTCATTGTTACATTTGTCACTGTTCCATTTCCGATTGCTTTTGTTTAATTATCTTTATTCAATTTTCAAAAATAGGCTGTAGAAATGCTTTTCCAACGGGGTTTAGTGAAAATTCTCTTCGCAACAGAAACATTTTCGATGGGGGTAAATATGCCCGCAAAGAGTGTTGTGTTTACATCAATAAGTAAATTTGATGGTTTAACAGTACGTCCTTTAACTTCAAGTGAGTTAATTATTTCGGCTTTATTAACTTATTTTTGAATCATATATACCTTACCGTTGAGTCTTATTTGTCTCTGTTTTTCACCAAACACATTGGTATCTAACTGCAAATAGACATGTATACAGCTTAACGATTGTAGCTGTAATGAAAACTAGGATAGTGATTCCTTTGAAAGACTTGAAGAACTCTTTCAGTCAGCTACATGGTATTCCATTCTACACCCAGAATCTCCCAAATAACTAAGACCTACCGCACTTAGTACTCCTGTTTCCGTGACATTTATTCCCGGGAAAAACTCATACGAATTTTTCAATGTATCAATCATGGAGAACTCCTAAAACAGAAGTCACATTAATGTGAGCGCTGAAAATATTTATCAGAGGGATGATGGGAACTTCACAGCGAAATCGCACAGCTGAGAGAAGGTAACCACGTAAAAAACATCAACTTAAGCTAAAAATCTACTCTGCTGTTCTCAGTTTTGTTATTTATACATCCGGTGGTTCAGAGTGAATGCACTTTCTCCACTCATCTTAGATTGTGTCAACCGTTAATTATCTGGCTGGAGGAAACAAAGTAGAATTTGTAAAATGTTGATCGGAGACAGTCGATATGTAACGACAAAAGACAAGAGTCAGACAACACATCGTTTATTAAGGAAATCAACACGTATTTATATATAATTCATGTACATTATTATAGCTTATTCAAGCAAACAAACACAGTCTTCTGATTGGTTGTTTCTTACAGAAAGTTGACTTTGCACCTCTTTGTGACTGTTTCTTGAATGTCAGATAATCTATACGCCAAGTCTGCTATGATTGGTTGTTGAATCAGTCTTGTTCATATTTTCTCACCACCAATATTTGCGACATATCCATTGACGTAAAATGCTGTCTACCATTTTTGGCTAGCCTGCTCTCATCACAGATACAGGTGCATAAATGCGGCGAAAACTGTTGGAGCATTCTTTTTAAAATTTAATTTAATTTTTGATTTACAGCTTGATTCCACACTGTATTTTTGGTACAAGTATGGAATTTTCAGCATGGATATCGGTAGCCCAAATTTTCCAGGCCGACCATAGATATCAGGTGTGCGCCGGCGTGGGCTCGAACCCCGGACCATGTGGATGGTCGGCGAGAGTCCTAACCACTGTGCCACCGACGCACTGACTAGTCAGGAATGCAATGAATTAGCAATTACAAACTTGACTAGGTTTTCTTTGATGAAAATGGAAATTGCATAGATAAAACTGCAATTAAGTCGGTGCAGGTCAGTTCTGCTACATTACTTTACAAATGATAGGCGGAAAATTGCATACCAAGCATAATAGACTTTGTATTTTGCCTGCACATTCACCTAAAATGACAAAGAGACGCCACCCCAGCAACTAGTGTGTTCCTGAGACGTCGAATTTGACAAGGAGTCACCGCTATAACCAATCTATAGTGAAATCAATTAGAAATGGAGACATTATAGATCCCCGAGAGACATCATTTGCATGTCGTCACATCAGATTAAGATTCTGCATAAGCTGTTATACGGCTGCACAAATTCTTGTAGTGCTTTCATTAGTACGACAAATGTCCCCATGTTTTTATTTATTTTTTTATTTTTTTTTTTTTTGACTGTCCACAGCTAGACATCGCCATAGCACCAGTCGACTAAAGGAGTCGAATGGTGTCTGTAAGATAAGAAATATGCAAGTTTTGAGTGCAAGCAAGTGTGCCCGTTTCTAAAACTTATCAAAGAGCAGAGCTATGAAATGACTGTGGAGTCTAGAATCTTGAACACCACCTAATTTCCCCATCATTATCATAACAAGATATTTTTCCTTTCTTCTACAGTAGAACGATATATGACCTGTACCACTTCAGTGAAAGCATTTAAGCATCAGACTGGAAAAAAAGGAAGACATCATGTGATGACACATCACCTCCCCTTTTGAGATGATTGGTGATTAGTAGCGTGCTTGCTTGGAGTTTGTCTGGGAACGTTGAGTTTGCTGTTGACGTCTATTGCTTCGTCTGCTTGTCAGGTTTGCGGCTTCTGCTTTTTCAGGCGTTGTTTGAACTGCGTAATTTTGCTTTTCTGTTCTGTTAGTTTTGGGTAGGTTAAATGTATCTAGGAGTATATCCAGAGGCAGAGTTGACTTTGTACCAGTTAGGATATCTGCACTTCTCGGACGCAATCGATTGCAATGGCGGGTCCATGAATCACTACCAACTTTCACGTCGTAAATAACTCGACCACATCGCGCTGCTTTATTCCAAAGTTAATGCCCTGCTCGATTGTCGCGGGCATAGACAGCGTCACCAACATCAAATTTTCTTTTATTTCTAAGTGATGCGTCGTCACGTCTGGGTGCCGGTGGTAACATGAAGCTGTAAATCGTCCTTAGTTTGCGTTCATAAAGAACCTCTGCTGGCGATTGTTTGTTCGGTGTTGACTCATTTGCCGTTGTGCGATATACCATCAAAACTTTTTGGATGACGTCAAATGGTGTTCCCTCTCCCTCTGCTTCGAGCAGAGCTTCCTTCAAGGTATCAACAAAACGTTCTGCTTGACCGTTTGATTGAGGATGATACGGGGGTGAGAACATGTGCTTGATAGCATTTTGACTACAGTACTGCTGAATTCGATGAGACGTAAACTGTGAACCGTCGTCTGTAACTATGGTTTCTGGTAGACCATGGTGGGAGGAATACATCATTCAGAGCTATGAGAGTCTGCGAAGTTGTCGGTGAAACGATTGGTATAACTTCTGTCCATTTAGAGAAAGCATCTACCACCACTAAATAAGATACACCATTTATAGGACCAGCAAAATCAATATGAATTTGGGACCAAGGGTGTTCTGTTAGTGGCCACGGTATAGGGGTAGTTGCACAGAATTAAGTTGGACATCAGTCAGATACAGACGTTCGAACCAATCGGGTTCCAAATGATTTAAATCATTCTGGGTGACAACAAATCGCTATGAATTTGATATTACGGAAAGACACAACGCATTCAAGTTCACCAGTTAGTTTAAGGCGCCCACCACAGGCGCTGACAGCAGTTTGTGAAGTCTGTCTGTCTGCCTGTTTTCGACATAGAACTTTGCACATATGTGCGGCAGTTCAAGTCACCACACTCCATGTAGCACACAAAGCAAAAGTGGAAGGTGGAAAAACATAATAGAAACAGTAAACAGAGGTGTGAGACAAAGAAATAGCAGTAACGAACAAAACAGTTTCATTGGAAATTATAAGTCACAAGGAGTGGATGCATCTGCGCCGGCCATTGAGAACGATTTTGAGCCATATCATCAATTGTTTCCAAGCATTGGTTTTTACCGTCCCGAGGACCCCAACCAGGAGGTCTATACCTTCCTACATGACTTAGACTAACTGTGTTGTGGATTTCATCGACTGATGAGGCCATGTTTTTGTTTGACCTCCACTAGTTTTTTTCCAGCCTGACGTGAAGTGTTTCTGGTAGGTGGTCTGCCGATATCGTCACAAAGTTTCTCTGATATGACAGTAATATCAGAGGTGGTATCTAACTGCAATCGTGTATCATGACCATTTATCTGCAGATCAATATATTTCCGCACACCTAGCTTTGTGACTCGACATGTTGCCAGTAGACTTATTGATCTTCTAGAAGACTTAGGACGCACAGTAGGTCGAGATTTCGTTGGATTATGGTATCTGTGTTTTGCGTGGCTGACAAAATCCGTCTTTATGACGGATGCGTCGGTGGTTAGGACTCTCATCGACCATGCACATGGTCCGAGGTTCGATCCCCCACCGACGCACACCTGATATCTATGGTCGGCCTGGAAAATTTGGGCTACCGATATCCATGCTGAAAATTTCATACTTGTACCAAAAATACAGTGTGGAATCAAGCTGTAATCAAAAATTAAAAATGTAAAATAAAATTCCTCTCGACAGGTTTGATGAAATGGGATAGGTAATCATGCTAACGGTTCTTCAGTCCGCTTGATTACCACTGTCAATGTCATTATGTAATATTGAGCTTTTTATTGATTTTGTTTAACATTTTTCAAAGCCTGAAGGGCAGTGCTTAGCGGTGACTCTGTATAGTTGCCTAGTGGTTCGTGCTGCATAGTTTTCTCCACAAGAATTGCTAAATTTGTAAATGCCCGTAAAAGTGGCATAGTTACAATTGGCTGGAGCTTTTGAAGCTCTATATGTTCTTGTGTGCAGTTTGTTACACTTGTGGCAACGACGGTGTTTGTACGGACACAGTCCCACCATGGTGGTGGTGGGGGTCTTCTTTGAAATATTTCGTGAGGTTTAACCAGGATATGTAGTTTTACGCAAAGCATTAGGAGCAGATGGGTCAGGACTGGATGGTGAGGAACGATTTTTGCTCTGTCGTAATCCACGGATGTCAGAGTTTCACGAAGTTGTCGTTTCAACCAGGTGCGTATCCTTCTGCAAATTAATCACCCGATGATATTCTTCAGCTATATCATTTGAGGTTAACTTGGGATTTTGTTCTAGCTGTTTGAGCAGTCGTGTTCGGATATCTGTGGAACGGGGAGACTGTAGACTGAATATGAGAATCAGAGCTTTGAACTGATCATCTGTTAAAGACCTGAGTCAAAATCGCTCGCATTCTCTGTTGACTGTGACAACATGAGTGAGGAAATCATCATTTTCATTCATGGTAGTTTGAGGTAACCATAACGTGTGCTGAATAGTGAGGAGTGGTCTCCACAATATTCACTCATACCATGGCAACATCTGTTGATGGAACAGCGATTAGTATTATGCAGTTCAATTATGATCCAGATGCACTTTTGACATTATCATATCGGCGCTATGAATGGTTTCAAAGTGCAATTTGACTTATTTTCTCCAAAAAGTTGACCTGAATTCAAAATTTTGCCTACAGATATTTTGTTTGCTGTAAAGCTTTACTGGAAGTAAAACTTTAGTTGGCTGATTCTAAGGATGCGTTTACAGGAATGCTCAATATTGCGTGGGAATTTTATATTCATTTATTTTGGTTTGTAAAGGTTTTTCTCGTTTCAGGGATTTTGAATTTCTTTTCTGAGTATATTGTGATATAGTGAAGCCCGAACCAGATTGCGACTAGGAGGTTTGTCTTGAAAAGTAGGAAGAAGAGACACTCATGGGTGTTCCCTAGAAAAAGAGCTTTCTCGAAGCAGTCATCAATTTAAGAGACAAATACAAAACCATCCTACCACTACGTGCAAAATGTTTTCCAAAACGGCACTTGAATGTTAAAAACTCTCACAATAGTTGTCACTCACAAAGCAACAGGGCATAATCACTTCTTACTGTGTAAGCGGAAAGATTTGATAGTGAGTGAAGACAAAGCCAGTGTCATCTGTAAGACACTGTATGAACTGCGAAAAGTGGTGTAATGTTGTCTCCAAAAGGTTGAATATAAAGTCAACAAGAGAGACAATGCAAGCAAATGCTGATGCAGTCCTAAGGATAACTATGCTAACAACCAATCAGAGTGGATTCCACGGGGGCAGGCAAATATTTCACCTTTGCAAAGTGCTCACAGATCACTTCACATCGAAGTTAGCACTGAAGTTGTTGTCCAGGAGAACAATGAAAGCTATACCATTGAATCTATGCAGTTTAGTGGTCACAATCGCCCCAAAATTTGGTAATATATACATCAATATAAGAGTTCTAAAAAGGTTTACAATAATGACATAGTCAACGGTAGCGTGGGGTGGATGTTGATGAGTTTATTTGGAAGTCGGATGTTTTTCCAATTTACCAGCTGGTCATCAAAGTTTTTAATTTCGTTTCAGTAATGGAATATTTATTTTGCTTGTTTACAGAAAATTGCAGGTAGGCTAATGTATTGGCGTTATTGTGTGCATCACGGCTTGATTAAGTATATCTCACCGCTTCTAGTTGAACTCAATGATTACAGACTTTTCGGGTTTGCATGGCTGAAAAATATAAATCATTTGTAATTGCGACTAACGGGGCGTGTGCTACTGACAAGCTATATAAGTAGTAAATGGATGTAGATGTAATAAATAGGTATTTCATCTACATGAATATGTGAATGCAAAGAGATGGATTTTAATGGCTAAGAGAAGAAATGAACGATTCTTATGGAAGACATGAGAAAAAAGGTGGAGAATTACAGTACACAAAGTATGTGCAAGTTGTAATTTTAATTTATAGTAGACGTATTTCGCCTGTACGTGTACATCGATTTTCTAATTATAATAATTCCATTGCCGAATACCTTTGTGTTCATTACTTATTCACACTGCTTTTTGATATCAAATAGTTGGGCCAGTATATTAGTACGATTTAAGTTGATTACGTCATACAAATTCAATTTCGATGAAACTTAACGACTGCGAGACAAGAGTATGAAATTACTTTTTGTTATCTGGTCTGTTTTCTAGCGGAATACACACAAATGGCTGGTCGTGCCGGTCGTCGTGGTCTAGATACTAAAGGCAATGTGATCATACTTGTTGGCAGTTTGCAAAAAGCAGTAAGGTCAGTTACAGGTCTACCATCAGAATCTACTTTAATGAGTATAATACTGGGTAAACAGACCAATCTGGTGTCAAAATTCAAAATCACTTATCCTATGATTTTACAACTACATCGGTTGCCTGGATTTACTCCAGAGGTAATTTTTGTATTACGAATTTTTATTACCAGTTGTATCGTGTTTGTTTTTACACACCGAGGACTTCTGTTAAATGTGTAAAATCATAAAATTTAGATCGTTAACTAATTTCAACGAGAAAACCATTAAAAACTTGGATGGTATTTGCCGACCGTTTTGTTCTAGTCTGAGTCTCTTCATCAGTGCTCACTTATCACACACTCGGGGATTAAACCTCTATGACCTCCAGATTACATGGTGAAGCATTCTAACTATTTAGCTACTGGAGGTCAGTCCAATGGCTTGTGAATTATAACTTCTTCCAGTGATTTAAAAATCCGCATTGTGTAATCACAACAGGATGATTTTGAGCGAACAATTGTTTTCGATTAATTCTCCTATGAATATCGTAATGCAATTAGCCAATAAAGGGATGTGAATATTATATCAGAAACTGTATTAGGCTACATGCATATAATATGGAGTGATAATTCGGTATTCATTATTGTCAAACGAAGATACATTCATTGTTTGTAACAATAATTTGGATAAACAACATGTGATGCAACTCATTCATAATGTGCAGCTCGCAATTAAATTCACTTGCAAAATTAACATCCAGGAAGCCTTTCCTTTTTGGATGTTCTTACCAAAAGACCAGATGGTGTGTTAAAGCAAAATATCTACAGAAAAGCAACGTGGAATGGGCAATATGTCCATTTCCATAGTTTCATACCCGTACAATATAAACGGAAATTGATTCATTGTCTTAGTTATAGAATAAGATGCATATGCACTGAAGATTGTATTGAAGACTAAATTGAAAATCTTAAAAATCCCCTACTACAAAATGGTTATCTCACTAATTTTGTAAAGAAATATATTTCCAAAGGAACTGACAAAATTAAGTGTGATACGACGAATAATAAAAAGCTTTATCTGAGTATACAGTTCAAAGGTGATATATGTAGTGAGATATTAAACCGCAGATTGATTGAAACGACCTTCCCTTCCACAGAACTACACATCAGTTTTTCAACAAGACTGGTACTGATACAGTGCGCCAAAGATAAATTACCACATCAATGTGTGTATACAAATTCAACTACTCATGTAGAGCTAATTATATAGGTCGAACTCAGGAATATTTCTCTTTGGGCTCGTGAACATCTTCCTTCCAAATGAATTAATAGCCCCACTTTGTCTCATCTTGTAGACAGTGAACACCACATCAAAATAGGTGATTCATTTACGGTTGTAGATCGAGTACCAAACTAATCTGCCTGAAGGCACACGATTACGTCTCTTAGCTACAGCGGAAGCTGCAGAGATTAATAAGAAAAAGCCAGACCTATGTT